ACTGAGCATGGGGGTACTGAGACTTTGGGTGCTGACTCTGGGGGTGCTGCGAGTCCTTCTGGAGGTCCTGGAGCTGGAGGTACTGGAGCTACTAGGCCTGGAGGTACTACTGGAGGTACTAGAGGTACTACTGGTGCTGGAGGTGCTGGAGCTAGAGGTACTAGAGGTGCTTCTGGTGCTGGAGGTGCTAGAGCTACCACTACTGGAGGTACTGGAGCTGGACAGCCACCGCAGCCTGCTCTACTTGAGACGCTCTCGCCGCAGGCGATTCGTTCGTGGGTCGTTCGGCGAGGCAGTCCTGGTGGTGGAGGGTACGGTCCTACTGGTGCTGGGGGTACTGGAGCTGCTGCTGGTGCTGGAGGTACTGGAGCTGCTAGTACTGGAGGTGCTGCCGGTGCTGGAGGTACTGGAGCTGGAGGTACTGGAGGTGCTGCCGGTGCTGGAGGTACTGGAGCTGGAGGTACTGGAGCTACTGGTGCTGGAGGTACTCCTGTTACTGGAGGTGCTGGAGCTGCTGGCACTAGAGGTGCTGGTGCTACTGGTGCTGGAGCTGCGGGAGCTGCTGACCCTGGAGGTGCTGGTGCTGGAGGCGTTGGAGCTGGAGGCACTGGAGGTGCTAGAGGTACTACTGGTGCTCGAGGTGCTGGCGCTGTCGGAGCTCGTGGTGCTGGAGGTGCTGGTGCTACTGGTACTGGAGGAGCTGCTCGTGCTGGAGGTACGGGAGCTACTGGTGCTCTTCGCAACCTTCTCAGTCTTCCGCCAGGTGCTACTGGCTTCCCTGTGGCAGGTACTACTCTTCCGTTGCTGTGTCCACCGGCGGACCAGTCACAGCCACCGCTGCTACCACACTCCCCACTGCCTGCTCATGCTCCTTACACTGCGGTGTCAGAGTCCCTGCCTGAGCGTCGAGAGCCTGAGACTCGTGCTTCCACCCCTGAGCGTCGAGAGCCTGAGTCTAGCTTTGACCTTGAGCCTGAGCCTAGAGCTGCTGTCCGTGCTCGTGTTCCTCGTGTTCGTCGTCCGCGTGCTTCGGCTGTCCCCGGAACTCACGATATGACACTCCGTCCTTCCTCTGTTCCTCAGCGTGTTGTCCTACCGTTACCTCCTGCGTCCTCTCTACCTGACGTTGCTGACCCTCCGTCTGACCTTGCTCGTGCGTCCAGTCCGACTGTTACTCGCCTTCTTGCTACGGTTGTGACGGACCCTACGTTCTCGTCTCCTACTGTGTCTGCCCTAGTAGCTGAGCTCGTTGACTTTGCTGCTGTGTACCGCCTAGACTACCTTGCGAGTCTTGTCTCTGACCCTGTCCCTGCCTGTCCTCCGTCCGTCGGGGGTGAGACTGCTCTTGGCTGTACTGCCCTTGGCTGTGACGTTCTTGAGGACAGACAGGAGGAGCTGGAGTGCCTTGCTGCCGCTTCACCCCATCACGCGACCATGCTGCTTGCCCCTGAGGGAGACCCGGATGCACTTGACATCCCCACCCCGCGCTCCTACAGGGAGGCGATTTCGGGTGAGTACTCCTCTCAGTGGCAGACAGCCATGGACGCAGAGATGGCTTCCTGGAAGTCCACAGGCACCTACGTCGACGAGGTTCCCCCACCTGGGGCGAACATCGTCAGTGGCATGTGGATTTTCAGGGTGAAGCGGCCGCCGGGTTCTCCGCCTGCCTTCAATGCACGTTACGTTGCTCGAGGCTTCAGTCAGCGTGAGGGGGTCGACTTCTTTCAGACCTTCTCCCCCACCCCGAAGATGACCACTCTTCGGGTGTTGCTACACGTTGCAGCTCAGCGTGACTACGAGCTGCACCCCCTCGACTTCTTGACAGCTTTCTTGCAGGGTAGCCTTCACGAGGCCATCTGGTTGCGCCGTCCACAGGGCTTCACTGGTCGTTTCCTGAGGGTACCCAGTGAAGCCTACGGCGACCAGTGTACGGCCTGCGTCAGGCACCCCGTGAGTGGCACGACACACTGAGGACGACACTTGCGGCTCTTGGGTTTGCTCCTTCGACTGCTGACCCGTCGCTGTTTCTACGCACCGACACTACTCTACCGCCTTTCTACATCCTCGTGTACGTCGACGACTTGGTTTTTGCTACTGCTGACACTGAGGCACTGGCCCTAGTGAAGGCGGAGCTGCAGGAGAGACACACCTGCACTGACCTGGGTGAGCTGCGGAGCTATCTTGGCTTGCAGATCACCCGGGACAGAGCACGGCGCACCATCACCCTGACTCCATCACACATGGTGCAGCAGGTCCTTCAGCGCTTCCACTTCACGTGGTCCTCGCCACAGCCCACTCCTCTGTCTACCGGCCACTCGCTCTCAGCTCCACCTTCGGACGAGTCCGTAGAGCCGAGTGGTCCGTACCCAGAGCTTGTGGGTTGCCTCATGTACCTGATGGCGTGCACACGACCTGACCTCGCGTACCCTCTCAGCCTCATGGCTCGCTACGTGGCACCTGGTAGACACCGAAAGGTGCACTTTGATGCTGCAAAGAGGGTACTGCGTTACTTGTGCAGCACATCGGGCATGGGGCTCGTGCTTGGAGGACGGGGTTCGGTGGTCCTCACAGGACACTCTGACGCTTCTTGGGCCGACGACCAGACGACTCAGCGTTCGTCACAGGGTTACACCTTCAGTCTTGGCTCTGGTTCTGTCTCGTGGAGGTCCACTCGTTCTTCTTCTGTGCTTGGTTCCAGCTGTGAGGCCGAGATCTACGCTGGGGCCATGGCTGCACAGGAGCTACGCTGGCTGACCTACCTGCTGACCGACTTGGGGGAGCGGCCTCGTTCTCCTCCAGTTCTGTACGTCGACAACAAGGCAATGCTTGCCTTGTGTCGCGAGCAGAGACTTGAGCACCGAACGAAGCACATTGCTCTTCGCTACTTTCTTGCGCGTGAGCTGCAGCAGCGTGGTCAGCTGCGCCTTGCTTTCGTTGCCTCTCGGGCCAACACTGCTGATGTCTTCACCAAGGCCCTTGGGTCTGGTGATCATCACCGTTTCTGCACTGCTCTTGGGCTTGTGCCCACTCTGCCTCACCTGCTGGTTGCTTGACTTGCTCTTGTTGTACACTGCTATATATCTTTATACCTGCATGTTTTCTCTTGCTAGGTTGTGATCAGTGTACTGCCTTGCTATTATATACCTCTGCATGTGAACTGGCCTTGTAGCCACTTGCTTGTGCTCAGAATGCGTGGTGACGTTGTGATCCACCCTGAGCTGTGTTCTCTTCTGCAGACTGGTCTTGTGACCGCTTGTTGTGTTTGCTATCCCCTACTTTGCCTATGGGGGTGTGTCAAATTACAATTGTGTCTCTAGGCTACAGTAGGGTCACTCCTTAGTGAGTACAACACTTTAGGGTTAGGTTTCCCCTACTTATACTCACCTCTTGCCTAGTTCATTCATTCATTCCCACCTTCTGATTCTAACAAAACACAAAGGCATATGTGTAAGCGTGAAGTGAGTGCAAATAGGGCGGTCCGTCATTTCGTCTCTATAATTTCACACCCTCTCGGGCACGTTTTGACTCGATCAAAGGTTTAGACATGTTGAAATGATCGAGAATTTGGTGTATTTCCCACTTTCCTTTCTTTTCATCCCTTTTCCTGTCTCCTTCACAATAGGCTGCTGCTGACGGACAGATGGTTGACCGAACCCTCATCAGCAACACTTGCATGGTCCCAACTGCTATTATGCATGGTATCTTGAAGATACTCTAGTCATGCTCGAGATACGGCATTCGTCGGCACTTGCCTTCCAGGTCACAATGCCTTGACCTTCAGTGCACTTGATAGAATGTGCAAGCTTGGGGCCGATAGAGCTGGCAGCTGCACCCAATCTCGCTTCGTCTTTGGTCCTAGTCTCACTGTCCATTTGAAACGAAGTCGTTTTGACAGTTATCCCGGCTGCCAGTGGCAGGTCACCTCGTGCCTCGTGTCACATGACGGTGGCTCCTCCCTTTCCATACACCACATGATGACCCGCCGAGTTGACGGGCGAGTCCAACGTACAGTACGTGACGGAATGTGTACGGTTTAGGTCGTCACCTCCTAGTGGAGGGTTTTTATTTGTGGGGGTGCCAGCGGGCAGGCTACAACTGCAAGCCATGATGATTCCATCAAGTTCTTTGCCCGCTGCTCGGTCCCACTTGGCCCACACTTCACCACCTCCTCGCTCGCGCGCCTTCCATGCTCCTTCCTCATTTCCAGTCCCTCGCCCGAATGCGAGAAACCGCATCTCTCGGGCTCCCGCAAAGACGGCGGAACCCCTGTGGGCAGAGGCAGCAATATCATCTTGTACTAGTGAGAGGCCCAGGAGGTAGGACACCTGCCCACTGGGCACAATGAGAGTCAAGCGTGCTTGTGCACCGTTGCTGCTCGATGATCAGTGATGCTGGTAGAAGGTCAACCCGTGGATTCGAAGGACCCATGTTTGAATCAAGATGGAGCAAGATTGCCCTACCGCCTTTAGACAAGATTGTCAGCAAGCCAGCTAGTAATCTTCTGAGCTGACTCGAGTGTTCTCTTGCAAGTTAACTGCGTCAGAAAGCAGTACTACTACCGGCGCTTTCAATACCAGTACCGCAACAGCGTGGCCGCCATGATGCCGCATTCCGAGTCCTCGGAAGCCATTCACTCGCCCGGGCCGGCCTCCCAATCCTCGTCGCCGCTCAGCATGCAGCCATGGTCGCGAGAGGTGCGAGATGAAGTGAGAGGTGGGAGATGAAGTGAGAGGTGCGAGATGAAGTGAGAGGTGCGAGATGAGGTGCGAGATGAAGTGAGAGGTGCGAGATGAAGTGAGAGGTGCGAGATGAAGTGAGAGGTGCGACATGATGTGACCCGCGAGAGGTGTGTCCCGACGATATCATTTCCTCAAGATACGCCGGATTTTTCAAGATTCAATCTTGCAAGTCTTCCTCTTGGGGATAACACTACTACCCATGTGCGTCAGGACACGTTCAGTGTGCTGTTAGCCTTTCACGCTAACGCTCTTTCACGCTCAATGCTCACGATAAGAATGCTGCATTTTACGCTGGCACTGCCCCCCGCACTGAGTGGGCAGGAGGACACGGTGCTGCTGCACCACGCGCTGCAGTGCGGCACCAAGCAGTGGGGCGAGCTGGGGAGGAGCGGGCAGCTCAAGAGGAGCAACAAGTCGTGCTGTAACCGCTACATCTTCCTCCGAAGGTAACCCTGAATACATGCCACATGCACATGCATTTAGACACTCGGGAGTTCTATAACGCCTGAGCCTTGTGTTAACTCCTCTCGCCTGTGGCCTGTCTGACTGACTGTTGATGGCAGGAAGTTTACTCACAGCTTTCGCCAGCACTTGCTGCAAAAGCACCTAGAAGCTGTTGGAATCTCCCAGCACCTTTCATTCGACAGAGACTATCAACCGCTGCTCTCTCAGTATTTCAATCAGCAGCAGCAGCAGCAGCAGCAGCAGCAGCAGCGTTTGGAGGGCGTGGGTGCAGGTGCAGTGGCGTTGGGAGGGCTGTCGTTCGATGAGTGCATGATGGTGTTCTTCGCCCCCAATGCACGCTGCTACCGCACAGCAGCCCCAACCAACCTCTCATCTCTCGCCACCCCTCCTGCTCCCCACGCTCATCCTCCTGCTTCCCACGCCGCGGCCTTCTCTCCTGCGGCTGTTCGTACCACCGACTTCCCGTCCCCCCGTGATGCCGTCGCGATCGCATCGGCCTCCAACGCCGCTGCTCTGCGTAGTCCCTTGAAGCGACCACGGGGCGATTGCACAGGACTGGGGGCAAGCCAGCCGCTGCTGGAAGGACATGAGAACGGGTTGCTGCGAGATGGGTTGGTCCGAGGCGGGGTGGTACGAGGAGGGTTGGTGTGTACCACTGAGCGCCGCGGTCAGTCAGTGGCGGAGCAGTTCCAGCAGCACGGGGAGAGCAGCCGCATGCAAGCAGCTGAAAACGCCCTTCTGGATGCTCTGTTGCTGGGGGGGGATCAGCAGCAGCAGGGAGGAACGAGGAACAGGGTGCAGCGGGTGTTGTGGCCGCGCGTTGGGTCGGAGAGTGCTCTTCCAGACGACGTGCTGCTGGGATGTACCAGCGAGGGCCCTGCTGTCATGCAGCGTGCTGCTCTCTCTGCTCCTACGCCCACCCAGCCACACGCAGAGCTGCCAGCGCCGATGCACCCCCAACTCGCTGCTCCGCCTGGCTGCGCTCCCTGCGTTGGTGATTTTAATCCCTGCTGTGGAGATTTCATTTCCTGCATTGGGGATTTCAACCCTTGCTCCGCTCTCAGGGACATGAGCAGCTGCAATGCAGAAACGCTTCCCTGGAATAGTTGTGGCACACAGGAGCAGGAACCTGTGGACACATACATTGACTTGCTCCGCGACGGAAACAACAACGGCAACAGCAACGCCAACGATGCTCTCTTTCTCAGCACGCCCGTGGCTCACCTGTTGCTGGGTGCACATGCCCTCACCGTGCCCTTTCCCAGCGGGCCTCAGCAACAGGCGCTGGCAGCCTCTGGTGCTGCTGGGGCAGCCCTGCTGGAGTGGAATGTGCAGCAGGGAGGGACCGGGGAGGCAGGCGCTCAACCACACAGGCAGCAGCAGCAGCAGCAGCAGCGGGCGAAGTCTTGTCTGCATCTAGAGCTTGAGGACATTCTCCCGCTGCCACTGCACCAGCGTCTCCCACAGCCACTGCCACAAGCTCCGTTGCCAGCAGCCCCTTCTCAGCATGCACTCCCACATGGCGTCATCGGTGCACTGAACATGCCCTCAAACCCAAGGGGCGCGCACATGGATGCTCCCATGCAGCCACGCCGTGCCATGCAGCAGCAGCCCGTCTCCCTGCCAGCTGCTGCACTACCAATCCCATGCCGCCGCCGTGGCCCGACGTGACCTTTAATCTAAGCGTTGATGGTTCTGCACCGCATGCCACAGTCAGTCACCGGCTCAGCTTGGATGGTCGTGACTCAACTAATCTGTCGAAGGATAAAGCGACCTTGATGCGACTTGGGTCAGGGTTGTGATTGACCGTAAGAACGCTGTTTGTGAACCCGCATACGGCGGATCTACTGTGAGGTGCCTTCAGGCTCCATCTCACGTACTGTATAGTTAACATATACTTCTATATACTACTTATAGTACGGGTATCCTTCTAACTGCGATTTGACTGCACAAACGGCATTATGTCGTGCCAAGAACCTTTCCTATTTCTAGGTTTAAATATATTTTCTCAACAGTTGCCACCTCACCTCCCTTGTTAGTTGCTGTCAAGTGTCACGCTGATCACCTCCCTCTGCTCCTTGAGGCACGGTTTTGTTTTCCCCCATGTGTGATGTCAGTGTGTTTTCTAAATAGCACTCTGATAGCTTAGTGGAATTTTCTAAATACCGTATGCAATTTTACCACTCTGTACAGGGAACTGGCATCCTGACTGTACCCTTCAGGCCCTCAGTCTCAGATACCAGGGTGATACCTGTGCTTTTGCTTACACATACCCCTACATCCCATCTACCAGTATGACGGTATTCTCTGTTTTGATACTTACATGACCATCTTCCCCTGATAGGATTGGGACAAAAATGAAGGCAACTCTTCACTTGCTTGCACATCATCACCCCGCCGCCACTCCACTCCTTCCACCCGACCCATCACCCTGGGCACAACCTGCACATGCCATCCCACATAGCACAGCACCCCCCTTAAACTGTGACTCACACCATCACTGCCAAACCACCATCCACTCCTATCGTCGCACCCTGGGGCGACTAGAGTGCATGGAAGAAGCACCGGAGCAGCAGCCTCCTCACTTGACTCTCCTCTTGAACGCATACTCCACGTCGGAGGGCCCCGGGCCAACACGGCGAGCGGAGGTGCGGATGAGGGCGCCGTGGGAGAGCATGCGCTGCAGCACACGTGTGATGTTGAGCGCGTCGTCCAGCCCCACGTGGTGCGTGCCCACTGGCGCCATCTGCAGCCCCTTCATCATCGGCATCATGCCCGACGCCTGTGTGCCATGCCATGCCATGCCATACAAGTGTGGTTGACATTGATAGTCATTGGAGTAAGGTGGAGGAAAGGGCAAGAGGGAGCAGCGGGACGCCCAGTCCAACAGATGGATGGATCAGCAGTAACCAGAATGGCTGGCAAAAGGTTAGCTTGACAGATTCAGCAAGAGCGGCGGACAGCACCGCAGTTACACGCAGCACAGGCGGGAGGAGAACATGAAAAAACTCAAGCTTTATGCAACACACAACCTCAACCTCATTGGCCGCCTCTCTAGCACAGTGGGAGAGTGTCACACCTTGCGCTTGTAGAAGTTGAGGTAAATGTCCTTGAGGTTGGTCCAGTGCAGGAAGTAGGTGGGCACGGGCACCTGGCTGTCACGGCACTGCTCCACTATCTTGCTCTTCACATCCCAGTTGCCACACGTCACCACTATCGCCGACCGCAACCCCGGCCCGTGACCCAGCGCTTGAGCGGCTGCTGCTGCAGGCAGTGATGCTGACACGCCCACATCATCGCCTTTAGAATTTCTCTCCTCTGTACCGTCCTCCCGCTCATCCCTCCCCTCTTCCCAATCCTCCTCCTCCCCTTCTCCCTCCTCATCCGTTTTTACCTCTTCCACAACACCATGCTCACTACGCCTGGTGGCGGTGGCGGTGGTGCTGTGCTCCAGCAGGTTGTGCTGGTCTAGCCACTGCTCAAACTCCACTAGCACTTGAGCGAACGGGATGGCCGTGTCGTGCCACACCCTGGTGCATGCACGCCCCCGGGGGAAAGAAATAGGCACACCAGAGAGAGGGCTTGCTGAAGATACTCACAAGGAAGAGGAGGGGAGCATGGGAAGAGCGTGTGAGAGGGACAGTCAGTAGAGGGAAGGGGGATGAGGGAGGAGGAGGGGCAAAGCAGGGAGGAGCAAGTGGGGGAAGGCAAACGCTCCAAGTGACCACAGTGGTGGTGATTGTTGGGCGACGGCAAGAGCAGGCACGAGGAATATTGTGATGTGGTAAGAGCACAGCGACGTTGCAGCGATGTGCAGCGATGTGCGATGTGCAGTGCTCACCTGGCCAGTCCCCACGGCCCGTACTTCCCTCCGATGTACTCCGCCTGCCGTTCCTCTGTCATAAGGTCCGGCCGCACAAAGCTGCAGGGCGAGGGGGGGCATGCAGGCGAAACATGGAGGGATGAGAGTTCGCCCATGAGAGACGATGGGAGGACGGCGGATAGGACTTGCAGCGGCAGACAGATTCTTGCTTAAAAGGATGTGAGCGTGGTAGGAGCTCGGCTGAGGTGCGTGCATGGGCGCATGGGTGCATTGCCGCGTGGTTGCACAATGTCAGTGTGGCGGGCATAGCACGCACCGGTGGAAGTGGCTGACGACGTGCAGGGAGCGGGCGCAGAGCAGCAGGACGGGGAACTCGAGGATCTCCACGCGCCCCTCCAGGTCCAGCACCAGGAAATACTCAAACGCCTGCTTCCGAACCCTTTTCAGCTGCCCTGCCCGCATCGACAGGTCGGGCAGGTCGTGCGAAAACTTCTTCAGGTGGTCTTTGTCTTCGATAAGAGCGCACTTCCCATGTGTGTGGTAGTAGCACACGCCGCCACTGCCTGCTGGACTTGCCTCCTCTCTCCCATCGCTCTCCACTTCCCCTTCTCTCTCCGCTCTCGCGTGTCTCCCTTGTCTCGCGGTCGCGTCCCTCCTCTCCCTTCCCTCCCCCCTCCGTGCGGACACCAACATACCGCCCTGATTGCTGCTCTCCCCTCTGCTCTCCCCGTTGCGCCCCCCCTTGCGCCTCCCCTTGCGCTGCCCCTTGCAACCCCCGCTGCCCCTCCCCCCCCAATCCCATGCTACCGCCAGTGCTAATCGCTTGCCCGCAAACCGCTGACGTCACCGACCGCGCGCTCAATGCAGCTCCGCCCTGCGTGCAACCGCCCCCCCCACGCAACGGGAGCGCGCGCGGAGGAGAAAAACCCCTGAGCCCTGAACCGCGGTCGTGAATGTGGTGAAGCGGCGAGGAGAGGCTACTAGGCGAGCGGAGGGAAAATGGGCGCTCTCGATCGCGGTGGAGGCGTGGATGCGAAAAAAAAGGAACACCGCCGAGGGGCCGCCTGCGCGTCAAACCAGCTGCGAGCGGCGCTTGTTTGTGGAATGCAGGCGCGTGGATGGGGAGTTGTATCCTGTAGGCAGTGCTGCTGCTGGTTCGCATCATGATGGTGTGAGTCGACGGTCTCGTTCGTCTCTCGAGGACTGCTGCAGGCTTTGCGGCTAATCGGGCGATATCGACACGAGCAACAATAGCGGGGCTTGCTCCGCGCGCCACGACCGCCACGCGCGACCCCACTGCCGCACCCAGCATGCCCCCCACCTGGCAGGCGCTGGCAGGCCGAAGGCGGGAGATCGGGGAGTGCGCGCAGAAAGCTGAGAGGAAGGGAGGAGGAACGGATGGCGGCGGCAGGAAAGCTGCGAGCGGGGAAGGTACTAATTCGGCAGGCACGAGAAGTGAGTGCGCAGGTTACATGAAGAAACATATACAGAGCAAGAAACATGGAGCTGAAACATTATCTAGAGCTGTTTGTACTGTGTATAAAGTGTATACTGCTAGAATGTAGCAAGTAACCCACGAAATTGGAAACGCGTGCTGCGACGCTCGCGGCGAAACGAAATGGTTACTGGCAGGTTCAGTGTTCGAGTGGGCCATAAAGATACCCTGAACTAGAAGCCAGAATCCCCGAGTTGCTGCGAATGGAATCGGTGGGTGGTGGAACGGAAAGAGCAACCCGCCATGACACCATCACGGTCGGTGCCAAGAAACGGCTGGCAATGGCGGATGCATGATGGGGTGGAGGAGAGCCGAGCTCGCCCTACTAGAGATAGGAGCTGAAGTGGTGACATGATGACATGACAACGCCAGGGCACCGCACCACACCACAAGCCAGCGAATCTTCGATTGGGAAAAGCTCTCGCGCCTCCAGAAACATGCGAGCCGACATTACTCGCGTAGTAGACGACGACAACGATTAGGACAAGGAACGAGAGTTGCGTCGCTTAGCGACGGTGGCTGATAAGCCGACCCACTACTACCACTAGCCCTCAGCGCACCAACTTCCAACTCACTCACCGTGTCGACTCGCATGACCAGCACCCTGCGTGTAGTCTCCTCGTTTCAGCCGTGCGAGTCGTCAGATATGGGAAAGCCCTTGTCGCGCACTCACCGCCAGCCGCGACGCCATCTCGTCGACGCGTCACCGGCCGCGCATCCGTCGCTCCCTGTGGACGGGGCAGACGAAGTTGGGCCCCGCTGTTCGCCTTCAGATTGCTTCCCCAGCTGGGATGCGAGGGCTATTAAGATCCATGAATCGCCCTCCCATGGACATCCCATCCAAGTGCTTCACGTCGTTACCAATAGATCCCATCGGCAATACTTCCCAACTCGCATATCACTTTGAGTTGAAATCAGCGGCATATCACTTTGAGTTGAAATCAGCGGCTTTTCAGTGTTGAGTCGATAGTAATGGCGACGACGAAGATCCTTGCGGTTCTGGTTCTCGCTCTCCTCGCCACCTCATGTGAGCTCGCTCCCACTCCTCTTGCACCACGCGTCCCACACTACCGGTTCTTTTTCTTTTTATTTATTTTATTTCTTTTCTGAAACAGTTCCTAACGAGCAAGAGTGCCGTCGTTTGAATGAGCAGGTGCCTTTGCTGCTCCTGGTAACGGCAAGGGGAAAGGCGGAAAAGGAAAAGGAGGCGGCAAGGAAAATGGCGGCGGAAAAGGCAGCGGGAAAGGCGGGAACGGAAACGGGGGCGGGAATGGCGGGGGTATTCTGGGCGCGCTGACTGGCGGAAACTCGACGGGCGGATGGGGTGCGGGCGGCATATTCTCCGGCATCACCTCGCTCTTTGGCAACGGCAGCACTCCGAGCGACCTGGGGGGCATCTTTGGGCGCAAGGGCGGAAATGTGAAGGGCCAGGGGAATGGCGGAAGCAAGGGGAAGGGGAAGGGGAGGGGCAAGGGGAACGGTAAGGGGAACAGTACGGAGAGTGTTGGCCCTGCAGGCGTGGCGACACCTGCCAGCGCGAGTGGCACAGTGATGGGGACGATGGGGGTCGGCAATGGCAAGGGGCAGGGCAATGGGCAGGGCAAGGGGAATGGGAGGGGGCTTGGGTGGGGTAAGCGCTGGAAGAGCGCGGGTGGCGTGTTGGCGCAGCTGAGGGGCAGCAGTGTGGCGGCTGATGCGCTGACAGCCCCTGGCGATGCCAACGCCACTGGCGTCCTTGAAATCACCCTCCTCCCGTGAGTGCCCTGCCAGTGGCGCTCCTGATCTTAGCATGGAACGCTGTCTCATGTCCGCCTCGCTCTTAGCATCTCCTTACCCCTTATCTCCCCCCCTCTCCCCCTTCCTCTTGCCCTGGGTGTCGGTGGGCAGGAACGGCACGGACTACGACGTGGCCTTCACGGCGCGCATCTCCCTCTCCACTGACGCCGCCCCCACGGCGCTCACTCTCAACAGCGGCAGCGCTGCCACCACCGGCCTGACTCTGCTGGACTTTTCCACGGCCACGGGCGCTGACGGCGCGTCCCCCCCTGCGTGGACCAGCGCGGCCTCGGCCTCCCCTGGCAGCGGCCCCATGGGGCGTGCGTGGGGCCGCCTGCAGCGCGCAGTGGGGCGCTCTGCGCGCACGGCAGGGCTGCACACCTTCACTCTCACGGGCGTGTGGCGCGCTGCTGCCACCGTGCCTGCTGCGGACGGCGTGCAGACCGTCAAGGACGTGGTGCTGGCGGTTGTGGCGCAGCCCACCGCCTTCTATGCTCTCGTGGCTTCTCCGGGGTTTGAGGCTGGCGCTGCTAGGGGGCAGTTCCAGAAGGCGCCCAAAGGATGGGCGTTCGGCCTCAGGAACTGAAGACTGAACTCAAGAGTGGGAGGACAGGGCCGGGAGAGTGTGAAGGAGGAAGGACGTGAGGGTTCTAGTGGAGGCGGCACAATAACAACCGGGAAGGAATGCGAGATGCTGACTACGATAGTTGAGCCTCCTACAGAGTCTGTTGTTAGAGGGCCTACTCCTGACCTGACAGGAGGACGAGGATGTGTGGCTGTCTGGCCGCTACAGCCTTGTTTGCTCATTTGCTGCATGTGGAAGCACGAGCGCAGGCTCTAGAACAACAGGTCTCCCAGTTCTTGTCGTGTGGGCATTCTATGCGCTCATGTGGTCGAATCAGATGTTTTTTATGTTGATGTTTGTTAGGCTGAGGAAAACCCTTGGGATCTTTTTTAGACTAGACTTGAACTTGCAATGCAGTGGGATTTGTTAAGAGTATTGGAGGCTAGGAGCATTGGAGCAAGTAGCATGAGTAGCGAGAGCAATGGAGAAAGGAGGGTTTCAATAAAGGCAATGCATACAAGATATAGGAAATGGGAAGGGCAAAAGGGTACACCATTGTCAAAACTGTATGTTTGTGTGTTATCTCTAGGCTATAGTAGGGTAGCCTACAAGGGGTATAACCCATTAGGGTTACCGTAGTACTTGTACCCAACATTCTCATAGTTCATTCATTCCTGCCACATTATTCTCACATGGTATTCAGAGCAGGTCCCTCCGTAGGACCGCTCCTTTAGGGCCCACCGTTAGTTTCGTTCTGCCCGGATTTTTTCTGCCCTGCCCTAACAGCGTCCCGCACGCTGCCCTGCCCGCGCTACCCCACGCGCTCTGCCCTGCCCTGCGCGCGACCCGCTAGCTGCCTAGCCCGCGACCCGTGTTAAAGTAGCCTCATAACTTAGTAGAAGTAGCCTAGGGTTTGGGCTAGGCAAGGAAATGTCGAGAGGATTGAACAAAGAAGAGGGGTTTCACTAAAGGGCCAAAGGCCAAGTTATACAAGAATCAAAGCAATGAGAGGTGCACCACCTAACAGGAAAGATGACTACACTAGGTTATGCTACAAGCAGTTGATACAAATATATATTATTTGACAACCCGCACGCTGCCTCGCACGCGCCCTGCTCGCGCCGCCTGCAAGCGCGCTGCCTGAGCCCTACGCGCGCTGCCTGCACAGCCCGTACGCTGCCTGCACTGCCCGCGCGCTGCCTGCACTGCCTCCGTGCGCTGCTTGTGCTGCTCGCGCGCCGCCTGCCCTGCCCGCGAGCTGCA